AGTTTGACCAAACTGCGGGAGGCAGTAGAAGACAGGAGTGCCTGGCGTGCTCTGGTCCATGGGGTCACGAAGAGTCGGACACGACTAAACAACAACAACAACAATCTAGCTTAAGCTCACTTGCTCGGCATAGGCAGTCCTCTGGATGTGCATCTGAATTCAAGGTAAGGCTCATCTAAGGCCTTTTCCATTGGCCGGAGGCATCTTTAGGTGTGAACGGAGATGCACATCTTCATCACTTGTTGCTAAAGGCAACTCACTGCTGTGTGGCTCCACCTGGATTGAGGCCAAAGGACAGGTACAAGGCAAGAGCATAGGATGGGTGAGGCCTGGCTTGGCAGCATTACATGTAAAAATGATCTAGGTATCTCGATGGATCACACACTGAGCCAGAATTGGGATGTGGCGGCTCAAAACCTTAAAGCTGCAATTGCAGAAGTATGGTGCTCATATCACAGGGCTTGAACAACAGAATCTCTCTCTGCCTCTCCGCTGCGGCTTCGCTCTCCAGAGCATTCTACAAACATGCCTGATCTCGTGAAATAAAACCAATTTCTCTGGAAAGACACGGAATGTGTTTTATTTGCAGACTCAAGATCTCAGAGATATGCATGCAAATATGACGATCACCACACCCACTGGCCTATTGCATAGCCAAAAGCAGTAGAGTTCCCAAAGAGTGCCATATTCTGGGAAACAACCGAATGGATTCATTAAAGGAAACATGAAGTGTATGGCCTACCCCTATTATTTATTTTAGTCACTGAGTGGTCGTTCAGTTCAATCACTTTTCTGAAGAACTCATTGGCATAAAAGAAGCTAGGTGCAAGCTTTCATTGATATACGGGTATCAAGCTAGTTGTCAGTTCTCTCTGAGTGTTGAACATGTATCACCGAACTTAATAAATTCCTGTATAGCACTAGTGATCCACCTACCTGAGCTGCGACTCCGCAGGGTCTCAAATTGAGTGGGGGTCTTTTATAGCATTGCCACTTAAGGACCTTTTAACTAGAGATGCTGCAGACTGAGTTTAGTTTTGTATTCAGGTTATGGTCTTTGAGATGAATCCACCTGTTCCTTCTCCAAAAATCTCCTGAAAATATTGTGCAGTAAGCTAAGGTTTTGCTGGCTGAAGATATTGAGAGACTTGTTCTGTCACTTAAAATGATCAAGGCTGGAACCAAGCCCATTATTTAATGCATGCTCAGAGATCATCTTTTCTTTCTTAAAGCCTCAGTGATTATGTCATGGATGGTGTTAAGTTGTGGGTGAACATATCAGACGACACAGCGATTCTTCAGACAGCTCTTGTTTATTCACAGGCCAGAACAGAACTGAAGTGAAGGGTTCAGCCAACCTGCTTATATAGAGCTCAACTACAAATCAACAGTAACAACTTTCTGTAACTATCCAATCACTGAACGTCACTTTCAATTCCTTATTTGCATATGCGGACCTGAGTGAAAACTATCTACAGTATTCCCCCTGCTGGCCCAGGTACATAACAGATGGGTTGGAGGCAGAGGAATGGTGGGAGGAACCAGCTGGGGAACCACCAAAGGAAGAAGGCTCAGAGCCCCTGATGGTGGAACTATGATGAGTGGTCAGAGGGAGAAGAGTGGTGTCGGAAGCTGAAGAGGTAGCAGGGTTTAGTGAGCAGGGAGAGTCTGTGGCAGACGGCAGTCCAGAATCAGAATGGGAGGAGAGGCCAAGAGGCAGAGATGAGTCAGGCTGGTGTCTCTCCCTCCTGCTGTGACAAGCTCCCCTCCCGCCTTGTCTCCCAGAACCAGAAGAGAATGAAGGAGGTGGAGGAGAGATTAGTGATGCGCAGACCCAGTTTCCAATTGCTTGGGGGGGGGACCCTGGAAAGGGTAGTTAGGCAGCTGTGGGGAGGCAGGGACCTTCAGCCCTTCACCTGCTTCATGGGGGCAAGACCTACTGGAGATGGGTTGCTGTGCCCATTAGGCCTGACACTCCTGTACAGACTGTGGTTTTGCTAATAAAGAGTGCATGGAGTGATTTACTGCTAGCTCACTCATGACACTTTATAGCTGTAGGATTTTGGCCTGCCAGTGGAAACAAATACTTCCCTTATGCTCTGCTCCAGCTAAGTTTTTAACTCCTGGTCTTCACAACCATTTGATACTCTAGCACTCTTTGGCCATTCAAAAAGATTGCATGACTCAGACTTGGGGTGCCCCAACCCTCAGTGTCCTTGCATGCATATCAGCTGTTTTGCAATGCTTCCCCAGTGTTATTGCATAATTGCCATCACCTCCATAATGAGATGAGACTCCTTCCTCATTCAAGGAGACATTCAATATTTGGACCAAACCCCTGCCACTCAAAGTGACTTTCACACGATGGACTGGAGAACAAGCTACATGTGGTACCCTTCACAATGCCAAGTGAGTTGTCGGCATCCTTGAGATAAACAGTGCCAAAGTGATTATCTAAATAATTATGGTAAGCTGAACTGTGGCATACAAGTTGGAACAAAGCTGGGTGATTTTATCTGCAAAGAATTGTGTGATATTGTTCCAACAGGATGTAGACGACTTGTCTTTTGGTGAATCACTTTTACTAGCTAGTTAGAAATCCACCAGAAAAGCTCTGCCAGACACAATTTTGCTTAAGTAGCCATAGCGCGGGAAGAAAAAGTTATTTACCACCACTACCTCCTGGTGGTGGTTCTATGGCATGTCAGATTTTGCACAGGAATGCTCCTGGATGGACTATGCAGAATTAGATAAATTAACAGGAAGGATTCGAAACCTGCGGGACCAGAGATTCTTAGAAAATTGGAGTAAATATATGAACTATTTGAAAAGCAATTGTAATGAACAGATTACGCTAGTAGGACTGCAAGAAGTTTTGTAAGGAGGAGTATTTGAAATATTGCAAGAAAGACCATGAAGAGAATTTTTAGTTAATGATTAATAAAGAGCAATAGAGAAATTAAGAAATGCAGAATAAGTGATAAAGAACAGAAAATCATCAGAGGTGGTTGACGGAAGTCTAAAATAACGTATAAGATAAGAAGTTATGTTAAATTATTGTTGAAAATGATATGTAAAAAACCCCAGTAAAAATGCATATAAAAAGGGGTGCTCCTGGAATAATGTGTGGATCAGTGTGTACTTATCCCTCAGATTGCTCAGTTCTGAGAAGGCAGGGGAAGGCTGAGGCTTACTCACACGCTTAGGAGGTAGCCGAAGAACTGCCTTTCAAAAAATACTTCACTTCTTTCTTTACAGTCCAACTGGCCATGAGACCTATAAAGGTAAAGGGACCCCTGACCATTAGGTCCAGCCAACCTTCCTGACAAGTCCTAGGCTCTGTGGTTTAACTCACAGCACCACCCGCGTCCCTTATCTGTGCACCATAGGGCAGTCTAAAGAATAGAAACGCAAAAATACATAAACAAACAATAACTCCCAAATCCACCCCACACAGAGAGAGAGCTTAAAAGGCCATAAAGGTAAAGGTAAAGGTACCCCTGACCATTGGGTCCAGTCGTGACCGACTCTGGGGTTGCGGCGCTCATCTCACTTTATTGGCCGAGGGAGCCGGCGTACAGCTTCTGGGTCATGTGGCCAGCATGACTAAGACGCTTCTGGCGAACCAGAGCAGCGCACAGAAACGCCCTTTACCTTCCCGCCGGAGCGGTACCTATTTATCTTCTTGCACTTTGACGTGCTTTCGAAGTGCTAGGTTGGCAGGAGCAGGGACTGAGCAACGGGAGCTCACCCCGTCGTGGGGATTTGAACCACCGACCTTCTGATCGGCAAGTCCTAGGCTCTGTGGTTTAACCCACAGTGCCACCCACGTCCCTATTCTATATGAGACCTATACATGGACATTAAATATGTGGGCACAGATGCCCCTGCAGACAGTCACCTCTCCCCCACCCCAATACAATGTCCATGGGAGGGATAGATAGCAGGCCACCATGTCTCATTACTCGCAGGGGCATTTGCAGCCACATTTTGAACATCTGTGCACCACTCACAGGGCTTGTACACATCTGGGCACTACTTATATGTCAACGCACTTTCTCCCCATTTGAATTAGACTGGTGTAGTCTGCACCCACAGCTATCTGAATTTGCATGTGAGGAGCAACTTCAGAAGGCATTTCCTTTTTCGTTTGCCTATGCCTTCTAATTTGTTGGTTCTCTGATATGCACCGAGGCTTATTTGTTTTCTAAAAGGAGTTTCCCTCCCAAGAAGTGTGCAAAAGCACAGTTAAAAGGTAAAGGTAAAGGTAGCCTTGCCCGTACGGGCCAGTCTTGACAGACTCTAGGGTTGTGCGCTCATCTCACTCTAGAGGCCGGGAGCCAGCGCTGTCCGCAGACACTTCCGGGTCACGTGGGCAGCGTGACAAAGCTGCATCTGGCGAGCCAGCGCAGCACACGGAACGCCGTTTACCTTCCCGCCAGTAAGCGGTCCCTATTTATCTACTTGCACCCGGGGGTGCTTTCGAACTTCATCTATTCAGGAGCACCACAGGACATAGTAAGAAGCACAGCTGGGAAACAAAAAATTGAAAGCAGTTAGGAAGTAGTGGGTATTGAAAGGAGAGCAGCAGAAAGTGACAATTGATCCACTCACCCCCAAACCCTAAAATAAATTGTCTGCAACCTCAAATACCAACCCCCATTTGCCCAGTTTATTGGGTTATCCCCATATTGGGTAATCCCAAATAAAAAGGGGGAAAGAATAGAGACTGGTGTTGTTTGAGGGTAATGTGTAAACTGCACAAATTAAATGGGAACACAAACAGCTGCAAACACACAGTAAACTCGAGTGTGGACAAGCCCAAAGCCGGGTGTTCCTGTTGCTTGAAACAGCAAGAAGGGAAACATTTTTTTAAAGGCAACGCTAGGATCATCTTATAAATCTCTGAAGTGGTTGATTTTTTAAACAATATTTTCATGCTGCTTTTTTAAAACAAACACACAAACAAACAAACAAATAAAAACACACACATTAATGTGTAAACTGAGTGGAACCAAACTTATTTAGGACATAAGTGCAAAAGACACAGTACAGAACTATATTGATATATCTATCAAATGCTCAACTCCTCATCAAACTGCAGGGAGCCAGGCTGTTTAGGTGGGAGTGTCAATTGCCCCAGTTAGCCTCCTGCTTCACATCTTTCTGGGGCAGCATCATTCTCACAGCATTTTGGAATTCAAAGCGATCTTTCAGCTTCTATGGCCGGACCATCCTAGCCCACAGCAAAGGTGGGCAGCCAGATCCACACATATGCCTTCAGCAGGTAGTGATCTTTCCATGGGAACAGCTTCACACTATATCTACCAAATAGTGGCATTCTGTAAGAAAATTGTAGGAATAACTTGAGGCAAAGCTATAATGAAGCTAGTAATTCTTCCAATTCCAGGAAACTACACTAAAGTTAATATGGCTCAGTCATTAGTACAAAATCAATTTAATCATCATTCAGAAAGAAAGAAAGAAAGAGGGAGAGAGAGGGGGGGAGAGAGAGAGAGAGAGAGAGAGGTAGAGAGGTTGAGATAGACAGAAAGAAAGAGAGGTACAGATAGAAAGAGAGAGAGAGAGAGAGAGAAGAAAGAGGCTGAGATAGACAGAAAGAAAGAGAGAGAGGTACAGACAGAAAAGAGAGAGAGAGAGAGAGAGAGAGAAAGAAAGAAAGAAAGAAAGAGAAAGGTTGAAAGAAAGAAAGAGAGAGAGAGAGAGAGAGAGTAGAAAGGTTGAGATAGACAGAAAGAGGACAGATGAGAGAGAGAGAGAGAGAGAGAGAAGAGAGAAAGAGAAAGCGGTAGAGATAGAGAGGAAGAGATAGGCAGAGATAGATAGAGAGGGAGAAAGGCGAGAGGGGGTGGGGGAGAGAGAGAGACAAAAAATAGAGAGACAGATCAGCTCCCCTCCCTGATACGGAGGAAGCCGGTCCCTCTTCCCCCCTCTGAGCCACCCCGCTCGGCCCTCCGCCCAGCGCCCCTGTCCCTCTCTCGGCGGCGGCGAGGCCTGCCTTTGGGCGGGCGCAGGGAGGAGCCAGAGGCGGAGCCGCCCCGAAGCTGGCCGGCGACCCGGACCGGCGCGAGAAGCCGGCGACCTCCACGGCCTTCGGATATGGCGGCGGCGGCGGCGGCGACCTGCGCCCCCGTTTGCCGCCGCCCCGTGCTGCTGCTGCTGCGGAGAAGGCGGCGCGGAGGCTCCCCGCGGCTGCCGGCGGCCGGCAAACGCCTCAGCAGCAGCAGCAGCAGCTCCCTCAGCAGCGGCGTCGTCAGGTGCTGAGGGGAAGAGAAGGGCGTCATGGGAGGCGGGGGACGAGGGGGTCGCCGTCGGTGGGGCGGGGGGACCCGAGCACCCCCCCCCCAAGTCCATAAGTGGGGATATTGGGGTCAGGGCCGGCCCACCCCTGAGGCAAGGGGAGGCGGCGGCCTCAGGCGGCAGGATTCGTAGGGGCGACGAGGCTCTCTTCCCTCCCTCCCTCATCCCAGGGCGCCCTCAGGTGGGCTCGCCTCCTTGGAAGTTACCCGCAGCCGCTGCCCAGATGGCTCGGCCGTGGGTCTTCCTCTCAGGGTTCGAGCTGGGAGAGCAACTCATGGGGGGGGATGAGGTCCCTTCAATGCCCCCCCCTCAATAAAATATTTGAGGGAGCCGGTTCTCCCCCCCCCCCACGCACAAAAAAGTAGATGGGTTTTGCCACTCAAATGGCGTACACATGCCATGTGGTGTGGTTGATTATGTGGGGCGGAGCTTACCTGATTGGTTATGCGAGGTGGAGCTTACCTGATTGATTATGCGATTGGTTATGTGGGGCGGAGCTTACCTGATTGGTTATGCGATTGGTTATGTGAGGTGGAGCTTACCTGATTGGTTATGCGATTGGTTGTGTGGGGCAGAGCTTACCTGATTGGTTATGTGGGGCAGAGCTTACCTGATAGGTTATGTGATTGATTATGCGGAGCAGAGCTTACCTGATTGGTTATGTGACTGATTATGCGGAACAGAGATTACCTGATTCGTTATGTGATTGGTTATGTGGGGCAGAGCTTACCTGATTGATTATGAGATTGGTTATGCAGAGCAGAGCTTACCTGATTGGTTATGTGATTGGTTATGTGAGGTGGAGCTTACCTGATTGGTTATGTGATTGGTTGTGTGGGGCAGAGCTTACCTGATTGGTTATGTGGGGCAGGACTTACCTGATAGGTTATGTGATTGATTATGCGGAGCAGAGCTTACCTGATTGGTTATGTGACTGATTATGCGGAACAGAGATTACCTGATTGGTTATGAGATTGATTATGCGGGGCAGAGCTTACCTGATTGATTATGAGATTGGTTATGCAGAGCAGAGCTTACCTGATTGGTTATGTGATTGGTTATGTGAGGTGGAGCTTACCTGATTGGTTATGTGATTGGTTGTGTGGGGCAGAGCTTACCTGATTGGTTATGTGGGGCAGGACTTACCTGATAGGTTATGTGATTGATTATGCGGAGCAGAGCTTACCTGATTGGTTATGTGACTGATTATGCGGAACAGAGATTACCTGATTGGTTATGAGATTGATTATGCGGGGCAGAGCTTACCTGATTGGTTATGAGATTGATTATGCGGGGCAGAGCTTACCTGATTAGTTATGTGATTGGTAATGTGGGGCGGAGCTTACTTGATTGGTGTGATTGATTATGTGGGGCAGAACTTACTTCGGCCTCCTCAATATTTTATTCAAGTTGACACCCCACGTTGGGCAAAAGATTCTTGTGTTGCGGATGTGTGTGTGTAATTTCTATTATTAAATATTTTTTAAATCATGATTTAAATCGTAAATTTGATTTTAGTCAAATCCACCCTGATTTAACCCAAGCCATAATCCCTGGTTCGGTTGTCACCCTTAGTTTGGGACTTGGGTTTGATTTTCCTGTGTGTGAGTGGGGAGAGGCAAATCAGGTGGGCTTGTTCATGTGTAAACGACCATTGAATGCACTCCCAGCTTGCTTTCAGAAAGCTGCTAGATCAGGCTTCCTCGACCTCGGCCCTCCAGATGTTTTAGGCCTACAACTCCCATGATCCCTAGCTAGCAGGACCAGTGGTCAGGGATGCTGGGAATTGTAGTCTCAAAACATCTGGAGGGCCGAGTTTGAGGAAGCCTGCACTAGATGCTATAGGAGCAACAATTCCCCGAGCAATACATGTGTTGCACATGATGCATTTACTGTGCATTTTAATTAATTTGAAGTGTGAGGGAGGCAGCTTGAAGAAACATCGCTTTCAGGTGTTGTGATTCCTTTCCGTGAGGTCTTCCCATGGAAACAATATTGACTTGTTTGTCGGTAACTCTTTTAAGGCAAGAAGAGCATAAGCCATGCATGCAGCCCGCCTAGTTCTGCACCTGAATTCTGAAAGTAGCATCTCATAGTGGTGTGACACTGTATATTGGCTGTATGCATAACTCCATCCCTCTTCTTGCTTTAAAGGACCACTGACCCTTCAAGGAAAATGAGGATGACCACATGCGCAAGCAACATGGGTATGTGTAGTATTTCTAGAATATCAATAGGTCAGAGAGGAGGGAGCATGAGCCAGGCAATCTATTAGTTGTAGTTCCCCATTTAAGAGAAGGGTTAAGGAGCGACGGTTATTGGCATAGCTGTCAACTTACAGATTTGAAAATAAGGGACCAGCAGCCTCGAAAATAAGGAATCAGCAGCCAAAATAAGGGATCAACAATTACTTTGATAAAATACATATTTTGTTGCGTGTAAATGGCTTTAGATACCTATTACAGTGGTACCTCGCAAGACGAATGCCTCGCAAGACAAAAAACTCGCTAGGCGAAAGGGTTTTTGGTTTTTTGAGCTGCTTCGCAAGACGATTTTCCCTATGGGCTTGCTTCGCAAGACGGAAACGTCTTGCAAGTTTGTTTCCTTTTTCTTAACACCGTTAATATAGTTGCGACTTGACTTCGAGGAGCAACTCATAGAACGCGGTGTGGTAGCCTTTTTTGAGGTTTTTAAAGACTTTGGTGATTTTTGAAGCTTTTCCAAAACTTTCCCAACACCGTGCTTCGCAAGATGAAAAAAATCGCAAGACGACAAAACTCGCGAAACGAATTAATTTCGTCTTGCGACGCACCACTGTAGGTCCATAAATTACCATATAGCATATATTCAACACAAAAAAGCAACAATTTGTTGTTGACAAAGCACAGCTGGACATAGAAAGGGCTGCATTACCTTCAGTAGCTAATTTAAGGGACATCATCAATAAGGGACAGCAGCGGGACATGGCGCTGGGATAAGGGACTGTCCCGCCAAATAAGAGACGCTTGACAGCTATGGTTATTGGACAAACGCCTATTTGCTGACGAGATGCTTTAATAGCAGTGAGAACTCACTAATGTGCACATTTTATTTATTTTAGATATGTTTTACCAACCTTCTGCCTCGTACCAAAATCACCCAAGGTAACATACATCCTAAAAAGGTTTTAAAAGAAGATAAATAAAATAAAATTAAAATAAGCAGGAAAAGAACAACAGAAAATGACAACGAAAAGTCTGTTACTTTGAGCTGCTGTCTATGTGGAGGACTGGAATGTGTGGCTTTTTGTTTTCTGTGAATTTTGGTTCCGGGTAACTTACATCTTTTTGGATATTTTGTATTCTTTCTCAGAAGTTTTAATTTTAATTCCGACTAGCTTTCTCTTTGAATGTGGAAGGTGGTAAATTTGGGAAACCACATGAAGGGTTGTGTTTGTTCTTGAGCCCAGGAACCAGTGCTAAGAAGACAAGATGATTTATTTTTAAACTCCCTCACAAATTTTGGGAAGTCATTTTGTTGGAGGGAAAAGGCCTTGTCTTTGCCTTTTTCTCTAAGGGTTAAAGCTGTGACAACAAATGATTTAAACAACCCTTCTGTGTGTGTTTTTAGCTTTCTTATGCCATATACTTTTTCCAGTTTACCATAATTAAATAACTCTCTCAAACATTCTCCCTACCAGTATCCTGAACTATTTGTGGAAGTGGCTGTTGTGTTCTCAAGGCATATACAGTGGTACCTCGCAAGACGAATGCCTCGCAAGACAAAAAACTCGCTAGACGAAAGGTTTTTCCGTTTTCGAGTTGCCTCGCAAGACGAATTTCCCTATGGGCTTGCTTCGCAAGACGAAAACGTCTCGCGACTTTGTTTCCTTTGTCTAAATAATAATTCGCAAGACGAAAAATTCGCTAGATGACAAAAATTGCGGAACGAATTAATTTTGTCTTGCGGGGCACCACTGTATCTGGGCACCATTGATTACAGGTGTCATGGACATGTTTTTCATCAGTCTCAGTTGGCTGGAGGAAAAAATTCTGCTTTAAATTTGGGTGCCACTGTTGATGTCCAGATTATCACCACACCGGAGATACTAATGTTACAGAAAACAAGGATCAGCATATTGTAGTATTTTTTTCTTCCCATTAGTTATTTATTCATACCATACTTTTCAATATATTCCCCCATCACTTTTAAAATCAGTCTTTCCTCCCCATATTTTAAAAGTGGATTTGTCATGGAAACTTCCACTACACTTTTGACTCCCTCCTGCAAAATGGATTTGCTTCCCTGCAGAACCCAGGAGTCATTGGAGCAAACACAAGAGTGTCGTTGCTAATGTTACCCTGGTACCTGCTCTGTCCAAGTGATAACCTGCAAATAGCTAAGGATTTTACCACTCATTCTCCCCATAGCAGCAGGAACCTGGGGGTGAGTAGATGGGGATGTACTGCTAAATCTCTGGCAATAGATCAGCAAAGGTTTTTGGCTCCCAGTCGTTTACAATAGCAATAGCAAAAAGTCTTGATTTGGCTCCAAAGGGACGTGGGTGGGGCTGTGGGTTAAACCACAGAGCCTAGGACTTGCCGATCAGAAGGTCGGCGGTTCGAATCCCCCCGATGGGGTGAGCTCCCGTTGCTCGGTCCCTGCTCCTGCCAACCTAGCACTCCGAAAGCACGTCAGAGTGCAAGTAGATAAATAGGTACTGCTCCAGCGGGAAGGTAAACGGCATTTCCGTGCGCTGCTCTGGTTCACCAAGTGGCTTAGTCATGCTAGCCACATGACCTGGAAGCTGTACGCCGGCTCCCTCGGCCAATAAAGTGAGATGAGCGCCGCAACCCCAGAGTCGGTCACAACTGGACCTAATGGTCAGGGGTCCCTTTACCTTTAACAGGAAAGTGTCTTCCTTTTATTCTTTTTGCTATGCGTTCCCACTGCCTCTCCCTTTCCCTCCAATATGGCAAATTTAGAAAAGGGGTTGTGGGGAACTCAGGGAGAAGCCTAGTTGGGCCTAGTTTTCCATCAAAACAAAGAGTGGTTGAGAGCTAGGCTGCTCTTCAACCTGCCCAGTGCACTGTGGGAAAATCCCTGCATTGCTGATGATAGGAATGTTCTAGAACAGGCATAGGCAAACTCTGGCCCTCCAGAATTGGCCTCCACAGTCACTTAAGAACTCATTGTGAAAACTGTGTTTATGGAAGACAATCTTACTCGGCTACGAGTGATCTCCATAGAAGAATAGTAGTAAGATCATGATCCCCACAGCACCCTGGCCTAGGGACTTGCAGGAGAATTCTGAAGGTTCGGTTTGTATTGTTCTGTGTAGTTAGGCTCATACTTCCAAGATA